GTGTGTTTGTATGTGTCCAACAAAAGCAATGGTGAAGAGCCATATGGTTTCTAAGATTTAGTTACAATGAATTATTTCGTTGGACAATCATTCATCTCCCATGGGGGACAAAATAAAATAAGCACAGAGCAACGTAGTTATTTTAATGTGTTCAATTTGCATTTCCGATTATTACATCACTGAAAGTGATATTTTTGATCGGTTTTGATGTTGCTGATGATGCTGTTTGCTACAAAGTCAGATGACGATCAGACAGTGAGTTCAGATTGTTAAAAGGTAAACAAAGATAGATACACAGCATTGCCTAGATATGTTAGAGTTGTTTCCGCTTGTTGTTATTGATGAGACTTGGAGCTGAATTTACCGTCACTCCCTCCTTCAGGGGAAACCAGAACAGAGAGCTGGCCCACCAGTGGCTGGAAAAGCTGAACGACCAGTGGGAACTTCAGAGGTTTCTTCAGGACTGCCACGAGGTAGGAGGCCAATGGACTGGTTGTACTGGTGGAACTCACAGGCAGGAAATTGTTTTAAATTCGTAGTGTCTCAGAATTTAGGCAAATGTAGCTAAATATATGTGTTTAGAATGAACAGTCCTACGTTTTTAAGTAGAAATTTAAACAATACAATTTGACAAATCTTTCATTTTTCGGAACTGACTGTGCAAAGAACGGAGAAAGGGGATTAGAATTAAGTCAAAATGTCAAGAATAAAATAGACACAGCGCCACTGGGTGTGTGATTTATTCTCAAAAATCTGGTGTCAACATTTTGCCTTTTTTCTTTATATGGTATTTCGATTTTATTCTCAGAATTTAGACGTTATTCTTGACATTTTGGATTCATTCTCCAAATGAAAAATAAAATGAAACAGTATGTTTTTTTTCTTCCTCAAACCTGGTTCTAATACTTTTTGATATCAGTGTCATAATGACACGTTCTAAAAAGTTCCAAATGGCCTGTGTATAGTTTGTGGTGTTAACACTAGTCTTTTAGCAGTTTGTTGTCAAATGAGGATCTGAATCTTTACATCTGATAATGAGTGTTTATACTCTTCTGGTTGGAATCTTCCATTGACGTGGTCCTCACATAGCCTGCGTGTCCCGTTGTATTTTGCTCTCTCACCTTGCAGAGTCACGGGCTTCTTCTTTCTGGGCCAAAACCTTGTTTAGTTTCAGCAACTTTCTCTCTTTGGCTCGGCTGAATAATTCAGCAGCACATTTCCTTATCACTAATTCAAGAGGAGAGTGTATCCCAGTGTGTGTACGTGTTTAGGTGTGTGTGTGCCTGTGTGTGTGCATGCCATACATCTATCTATCTGTCTGCTGCTTTGTGGTATGCGTGTCTGTACAAATACAGTATGCATGAGGAGACTTCCCTCAGCTGTGTGTGTGGCCAACAGTGGGCGAGTAACACTGCGTCAGTCTGAAGGAACCCGAGCTCTCAGCTGCCAGGGTGTGTTCTTCTGCTTTCTCCGTGCTGCCTCCTCATGTTTCATTTCTCTGGCCACCGCTGCTTTATACTCACTCGCCAACACGTTTAGTCCGAGCATCAAACCATCGGATGTCTTAGTTGTTGTAGACCGTAGACTAGGCGTGTCAAACTCGTTTCAGATAAGGGGCCACACACTGTCCACTTTGATCCCGTCCCGTGGGGCCCTGAGTTTGACCCCCCTGCCAGAGACATCAGCAGTTTATATTCTTTGGTCTTTAAAGTTTGTTTCACGCAGAAGAGTCGTGGTTCGTTTGTACACCCTTGTGTCTTTTCGGTGGGGGTCAGAAAAGCAAAGTATTCCAGTGGTGACTGGGTGAATGAGGGAAGACAGTCACGTCATGTATTTTGGACTAAGGAGTTTTTTTCTTATTTTTTGGTACAGACAGAGTTATAAATATTTCTGATTAATGTATATGCTAATCGGGGTAAGTGAAGACATTTTGGAGAACTACAATTAAAGAGCAACTCAACTGGTTGGCGACCGGGAGTTCTAATTGATTCAGGACTAAAGGGTAGTGAAGAGGTAAACTCAGAGAAATATCATCCTTTAGCTTTTCACCCGGCTTCAACTCCCGGTCTGTTTCACGAAAAGAGCAAGGTGTTTGCCCAAAGGGTGCAGTGTGTCTCTACGTAGTCTGCACCGCTGACTGTTTCAAGGAATACCTTGAAAACTGTGTACTTCACGTAACCCAAACCTTTTGTTTTTCTGCAAATATTCAGCTATTTTGCATACTATTATTATTATTATTATATATTTATTAGAGTCACGCATTTTTACATATATAACACTTACATACATGAAGGAAATGGTAGGGCTGTAGTAGCTCTGTAGGTGATTCTTATTTTTTATTGACCTCAAAGGGTCAAGTTGTTAAAATGCCACACGTCATATCAGTTTCATCCAGATGCAGACGAGCATCTGTAAATTATTGTCATCCAACAAAATCTGAGACGGCCCGGGCAGCTCAAATACACACAGGTGGTGGAGTCCAATCTTCCACTCTACCCCCCACTCTCCTCCCCTCCCCTCCCCTCCCCTTTTCTCTTCTGTCCGCTTCTTCCCCCCACAACGTCAGACAAACTTCTCCATCCCTCCCCACCTCATTCATCCCCATTCGTACAGTGCTAACTCCTCCCCACAGTCCTCCTCCTCTTCCCTCATCAATTCAGTTCAGTCTCCTTGAGACGGTGACCCTCAACGACCCCTGCAGACCCGTATGTGCGTGAGAGGGAACCTGTGTTTTCATGCATAATCAGGCGCACACACGTGTGTGCGTGTGTGTGAACGTGTCAGGCGTCTTTAATCACGTTAGCCGGCAGAAAGCGGAAGCCAAACAGAGGGGGTGTTGGACAGTCGTCCCTCCCCACCTGCCTTCTATGGAAAAGAGCAGTTTTTCCATCAAGCGACAAACACGTTATTCAAGATAAATTGTTCGACCATTTCCTACCCGTCCATCTCCCTCTCTCTCTCTTTCTTTCTCTGCTTTACCACTGCAGTAGAGTCAGGCGATCAAGTCGGAGAGTACAGCTGCCTGGGACTGCTGCAGAGACAGGAAGAGAGGGGTGGAGGGCGGTGGAGGAGAACACAAAAGCAGCTGTAGAGTAGTCGCGAGCTCGGCCGTTCGCGGTGTATTTCTGTCCCAAAAGCAGTCCTCTGTGATTTTCAGTCTCTCTTTCACTCTACACTTTTCTATCCTCCTGCTTTGACCCCTCCATTCAGCTCGGCATCATTACCCGTGATCAGTGAGCCCTGGGGGGCGCTGCCTTCCTCTCCTGCCCCCCCGCCCCACCAAATACATACCAAATCACACTACTGTGCTCCTCCCTTTCTTCTCTTTCTCCTCCATCCCACCTCTCCTCCAAGCAGCCCGTTGGAGGTGTGAGGAAGGGGAGGGGCGCCCATGCACTGCCTCGGCTGCCTGCCATTTTATTGTGTTGGGGGAGGATTTTTTTTTTCTTCTTTCCTATCAGTCCTCCTAGTTCTTACCCTCTCACTCGTCATCGGTCCACCCCCACCCTCCTCTCTCTCTCTCTGTCTCCCCTCGTTGAGCGAAGCACATCCTCAATAACATAGCAGAGGGGGGAGCACAGCCGCTGTTTGAATGCTCTAGTGTGTCTCCTCCACTATTGTTGTTGTTATTTACCGCCCCGCTTGGCATTTTCTTCTCCGCGCACCTTTTTGCACGGCCGTCTCGTGCTCAGCTGTTCATAGGGCTCCTTCCTCCCTCCTACTCCCCCACTACAGCTCTCCTTCCTGTCCTCATTCTCCTTCTCTCTCTCTCTCTCTCCATCTGCCTCTGCGGGTGAAGAGCGTCTGTGCATGTGTGTGGCGGCGGACCGGCGAGGATGTGGACACCAACCCTGACTTGTTCAGGTTAAGCGCTGCACGGCTGGGTTTGGAGAGAGGACCGGACGGGAGGGCGGGGGGGCAGGTGGTTGAGTTGCACGCAGGTGCGAAGGGGACGGAGAGGCTGCCGATGCTGACCTGAATATTTCCGGCGCTGCGTTCAGGGCAGGCGTGAGGTGAACTCACCGTGCGTTTGGGCAGATTTGACTCTGTGATGGACAGCTTGTGTGTGTATGTGGGTGTGTGTGTGTGGGAGGGGCTGTTTACTGTGCAGGCGTGTGCGCAGACGCTGTGGATCTGGTTTCCGTGTGTTCATGTGAAGTCTCGCCGCCATGTTTGTTGGTACACGTGTGTCTGCCTTCATGTGTCTGCTGGGCATCATTAAATATTCACGTGTGTGTGTTTGACCTTGTGTTTCACGCTGTTTGCTTGGCTGGCATGTTTATCCACAATACACTTTGCCCAGTTTATCTTTTACATATTAAAGAACCTAATTGAAATGCATATTATGATAATGTTGTGTAAGTGTGTTTGTGTGTTATGCAGCCGAGCTTACAGTATGATTCTCTCTTAAAACAGACTTAATTTCATCACAGACTTATTAGTGTGTGAGAACGTTTTGGTGCATCAGAATCTTTCCAAAACAATCAGTTATTTATAGTGTGTATGTTCATCCAGTATTGAGAGCCCTCTCTCCCTCTCTTTTATTCTCTCTCGTCCAGCTGGGGGACTGGGTGTGTGAAAAGATGCTGATGGCGAAGGACAGCAGCCGAGACGAGACCCAGAAGCTTCATAAGAAATGGCTGAAGCACCAGGCCTTCATGGCCGAGTTGGCCCAGAACAAGGAATGGCTGGATAAAATTGAAAAGGTGAGTCCCGTTGATTCTTCCCCAAAAGGTTTTTTTGCCGTCAAGTGAGCTTCATGCGCTTTGGCTCTTGGAACCGGATATAACGCCTCTTTGCCATGTGGCCTAATGTTTGTTAGTATTTGTTTTCAGTTCTTTTGAGGATAAGCAGCGGACAATGTCATGATCTGTGCTCCTCTCACAGTATGTTGCTTTGTCGCCTATATTGCCTCACGTGTTGCATTCAGCAGTCACGTAACAAAGTGCTGGACACCCGGCGCCGTGGTGACACAGACAAAACAATTAAAGACTCATCAAGAGTAGATTATTTTGTCTTTGTTCACGAGGGCATGAGACATTTCTTCCAAAGAGTCTACAGTTGAAGCAGTTAACTAGCTTACTGTGCTAATTGTTAGCAGAGAGAGCAATGTTGATGAAATATTTCGGTAGTTGCGATGGCGGGGATGAAAATCAGCTGTTTGGTCATCGAAATGTGTCATTTATATTTAGCATATTGAAGAGACATTTTGCCTCCTATCCCTCCCTTCAGACATCGAAGCTGCATAGCCTTTCATGAACCAATGTGAAATTACATTTTGAACTTTTTTACTAAAGTCCTAAGCTCTAAACTCTTAATTAAAGAGTAGCAAAGCCGGAAAGGCAGAGAGGAGCTTTAAATAGAGAGGGAGGGGCGATGTAACCTTCACAAGTGTCCCAATGAGATCCGTAACACTTTAAGGAGATTCATATACATCCTGCTCTCGTGCTCAGCTGGATTTGGCGGCGATCTAATCGGGTTAGCCTCGTGGGCGACTCCGGGGTGTCACGTTCACGCTGCTGGACAGACAGCCGTGACGTGAGTCTGGATGTGTAACATTAGTGTGGAGCTGTGGTGCTGTGCTACATACGTGTCCTCGGGTACCAAGAACTAGAAACCGGAGTGGCTGCTGAGGACGTTCTGATGATGATGAACCAATGCAGACTGTTGTTGATGATCACACTCGTGAATGTGGGATGGAAACAAATCTGTACGCTGCATCTGCTCTGAAGAAAGAATGTCAATGTCAGAGATTTGTCAAAAAATTTAGTGTGTTGTTTTCTTTAGGCTTTTTTTAACTGTTGCTCTGACCAAGAAAAACTGTTTGAATACACACCTCTGAGCTCAAGAAAATTGCGACTAAATATTTATTTATTTATTTTTGGATAAAGTAGCAGGTATGGCATAGTTAGGACTGTTAGGTAGTACTAGTACTTTAATAGTTTTTAACTTTAATTGTACAAGTCATGGTTATACTGGCGATAGCGCTTGCTATGGCTAGCTCATGGATGTTGCTAGGGCCATGAAATGCGTGTGTCTCTAGGGACAATCACCAAATACCACTCCAAGATGATGAGGAGGAACAATTAAAATGTTGTCGTACAGTCAGAAAGGAAAGGCTTGAAAGAAACAAGTGAGCTTCAGGTATTACATCATCTTTCTGTCCTTATTCAATCAGCTGGTTAGTTATATAATATATAACAGATTCACCCACTACTGCCCTGTAATCTGCTCATCGTTTTTAACTGCAGTTCCTGTTGCCGTTTCTTCTTCCATAGAGGGCCAAGTGAAACTTTGTCTGTGTGTGCATGTTAATAACGTGGGGATATGATGTGAGAAAAAAATGGGCAGACTGATGCTCAAGGATATACATATACTGTGGCAGACCAGGGGATGTGGAGGCGAGATTCCAGGAACAGACACACTCTTCAGATAACAAAAGAAAGATCCTTTAAATTGATAACTTCTGGGAAGGGGCGGAGGTCAAAAACAACACAAAATTCCTCCCGGTCGGAGTCTCAGGCCCTCAATGACTCGTCCTGGGGAAAAACAGAGGAGAGGTGTGAAAGGGGGATAATTCCAGCTGGAATGTTTCTTCAGACAGCCTGAAGTTGTGCACCCACTGTGTGTGTGTGTGTGTGTGAATCCTGGAACGATCACATCCCACCAGTCATTTGAGCGGCTGAAAGTCCAAATGGTTGGTCTGCGGCGCTGATTTTGCAACAGATTTATTATCTAGAAAACACAAAGCAATTTTAAGGTTAAAACACTGTCACAGTGATGGTGGGTGTGTTCAAGTCATTTAATTATTAGGGCAACTATCATACGCCAGATGAAAAAATACATAAAATATTATAAACATTGTAAGTGTTACCCTTGGACACGAAAGAATATATAAATTTGTTAAAATATCTAATATACTGCACCAGAGAGGGAACGTTGGTGTCATTAAAGCACAAAGAAAAACTAGCTTAAAGATATAAGTATTTTCTCAAAATAATCAATCATTAACCATAACTATTATTGCACTTGAAATAATATAGGAATCAACACATTCATGTGAGAGTTTAATAATCTTAATAAGTAACCTTCATAGTGCGTAAATAATGAACAGACTGTAGTTTACAGTTAACATCTGGTTTCACAGGCAGGGCATATTGTACTTATTTTTTAGTTTAGGATTATTTCATTTATAAGAATATAGTTAGCACATAAGACAAAATACATTAATACATGACATGAAAAAGATAGCTTAGCTCAAGCTTACCCTCTTGCGCCGTCGTGTTGGTCTTGGCCTTGTCTTGACTCACGCGGTTGTTTATCTCGTCCCAGCTCCTTAAAACTTCCCGAATTCGCCTGTATTTTTCCGCTGTGTTTTCCCTTGCAGCATGTAGCCTTTACTCAAACAAAGATTGTTGTCTCTTTGTGACAAACAGCCACATATCGAGAAGCAAGAACAGGATCCTCCATTGTAGTTTGCGGTTAGCTTTCAGTTTTCGCGCGATCGAATTACGCCAATCTACTTTCCGTCATATACCACGCTTTTTGGAATACACCACGCCTATCAAGTAAGGGTACTGTTGGCGGTGGAAACGCTCGCCAAATCCTGGTTAACAGACCCGACCCGTACTGTACCATACCACTCGGTGGAAAGGCGCCATTAGTCACCTCCTAATTGGGTTGATTGGCTGCAGGTGTTCCCAATGCCAGTTGCCCTCCGGTTGCAGCCCCTGCACTGGGTAATAACCTGATCCACCGTCTTGGCTCGGCCCCTCCTCCTGGCTGCCACAATACATGTACTGTATATGATGTTGAGAGAGCGGTGCTGCAGGGCCTGAGAGCGGCGAGCTGTTTTCCATCATAGATTCGTGGGTCATGTGCTGATCTGAGGGCAGATTTGAGTTCCGGGAAAAAACCCACTTGAACAGAGAGGGACACAGACAGAGGCGAGCCAATGATAGCAACCAGCTTCCAATGCAAATGTGTGGTAAATTTCTGAAGATGTTTAAGTCAAATTCATTTTAAAACCGGTATAAATGCATTATTTGTGAGAGATTTGTGGACCTGGACCTCCGAAACCATCGCTCTGTTTTTTTAAATACCTGGTATCAGAATATTGCTTGATTTTCTTTGTTTTCATCTTTAGATGAAATATGATCTTTTTTTTTTACAGTAAAAACCAAAAAAAACTATAAAATCCTACTCAACTATTTTCAGCTCATATACTACTCAAACAACCCTGAAATCTGAAACTGCTCTCCTTTATTTTAGGATTTCTCTTATATTATATGAAGTCCAACCAGTCTTTCGGCAAAATGAAAGGTGTGAAGATCGCACTGCAGGATGTCCTATAACACTTCATACAACATATTCATGATCATCTCACACTTAAGACTGATGCAGAAGTGCTGGTGAAGATGAAGAGTGAAGACACTGACAGCCTCATCACTGTTTTATTTATTTTTCCAAGTGGAATTAAGGGATTTGTGGTGAGGACACATTGTGTGTAGTCGTGAGGACTGACTGTTGATGTGTGGAAAAAAGTGAATTATTAATTTATCACACAATTGATTATTGAACAGAACACCAAAGGCCGTTATTTAAATGACCTGTTTGAAGACGAAAGATAATCCTAAACAATAAAAACGCAGAAATATTGTCAGGTATAATGGATATCATGGTGTGTTGGTGTGCGTGGCGCTCTGCTGGACCCATCTCGTGCTCCTCTCTGGCAGACTGGAGTCACACCAGGCCATCTCGCGCTTGGCAGACAGGCTGTGATTTTGCTTCTGAAGTCAATCGTGGCCTCCAACTTCACCCCAGAAGCCGACTACATGTCCGTTGCTTAGCAACCCAAACCTTTTTTTTCTCATTAGAAAACATTCAAAGGATTTGTCCCGATGTCGTTGCACTAGCGATAAAGAGCTTTATGCACAAGCGCAACATAACACAGCATTAGTTTTATGTTAGAACTGATGGTGGTACTGTTCACTGGTACTTAGTACTTCCAGGTCCAAACGCTCTTGTTTTCTGGTTCTCTGCTTGTATCCCCCGAAAGTCTATTTCAAGTAGGAGCTGTGAAGCACATTGTCTATTTTTTAGGTTAACGTGTGTGTATCTCCTGTCCTCATGTACTTGAAACCTGGAAAGTTGCAAAGTTTATTCAACAGTGACATATAAACTTATTTTTACACATTATAGCACTTACACAAACATCAATTGTACAAATAGACAAAGTAGTTACAGAGTTACTACACATTTTGTCATGGGTGTGCCATTTTCGTCGCAGAGGCCAAAAAAGAGGCTAGTGTCCAAAAACACATGTAAAATTGCTTATGTAGAAATCTTGAGTTGTCCTGGAAAATGGTTTCTATTTTTCATGTGGAACAAACTGTTATTCCTTCAGAACTCCCCATAAAAGATAACACTGCCATCTTGAAAGGCTTTTTCTGCAGGAGTTCTGTGTCTAAAAACCTTTGCATCTACGTGCATTATTCTAGGCAAAAAATGTCCCTTCGCTGTGTCGTAGGGGGAGACCCCGGCAGAGGGATGTCCGTTTGTCTGATAATGATGCAATAATCTGCTGTGTCAGTCCCTGTTGTGACATGAAGCTCTTGGAGCGACTCGTCTTCCCTTCCTGTGCTTGCTCTGTTTTGCCGAGCAACAATTCAGTTCAGTTCCCATCTCCTTGTCTATCAACCTTTCT